CACCACCACCACCACCACCTCCGCGCGCCGTGTCGGACAAGAGCTACGTCACACGCGCCTGGCGTTGGGGGCCACCGGGCGTGCCGGCCGCGGGGCAGCCTGGACCCGTCCTTCCCCGACCCAACCGCCGGGTTGGTAGCTGAGGGGATCCTGCCCCCGCGGCTTCGGGCCTGAGGGGGTAGGGAAAGAGGCAAGTAGCGAGGTGACTTGCTGTAACCCTCGGGTGTGGCTGTAGGGGGAGGTGTTTACCGTTCTGAGGAGCATCCCTTTGAAAGCCCTATAAGGCTGCGCGGTCCGATCGAAAGGCCGGTTGTTCTGGAGGGGAGGAGGCCCACGGCACTGCCTGGGCGGAGGGACGGGGCGAGTCTGAGGGTAACCGTTAGACCCTCGGTCCCTCAGCTTCACACCTCAGCTCCGAGCCCCACATTGGAGATGGAGGTCCTGACAGACTAGCGAGGGACCTTTGGATGAGGACAGAGCTGGGAAACTGTCCTACGAAAAACCTAGGACGGAAAAAGGGAGTGAGGGGACAGTTAGGTTGGCCAACGGACAACTTGGTGGGACGGGGCCATGACTGAATGACTCTGAGGTGAAAGTCGTCAGAGGTTCCTTCATAGGGACAGCCTGAGGCAGAACAAGGATGAAAATAGGGGCATGGGGGCGCCAGTTCAGAGAAGGATGACTTCAGCTTGACAGGAGGAAAATTACCCACAGAAATTTAGCTGTTGGCAAACGCGCTGCTGCCTCATCAAGCTCTGTGCCGTTTCTGTGGCGGCTATACTAACCGTCGAATTCCACCCTTTTGATTAGATATCCCTTCAGTTTTTTTTTAATTCCCTGGGTCGATGATTCTTCCTTTATGATAATATAATAATCCCTCTCAGCATTATTTATATTGTTTTCTTATGGAAAAAGAAATCCCCCCACTGCTCAGATCAGCTGATGATACCATTTAGAATGTTTTGTTTGTTTTAAATCTTAACACCTCATTGTCTTGGATATAGATAATAGGACTTCGATGGTTATGCGTTTAAAATACCTTACGCTTAATTAAAATGCTAACAATTAGGGGCCGTTGAGCTTCTAGTTTATCCCCCTGAACAGGCTGTAGACCCAAGCCTTTCAACATAAAGGAGTGTAATTGGAAAGAAACCAATTTTCAAAGCTAGTCAATTTTCATAAGAATACACTCTGAGGTCTTGAGAAGGGCAATTTTCCACTATATTAGATCACTGATTTGTTTTTTCTGTTTGTTTTGCCAGTTTTATTTCTCTCTTTTCTTTCTTTTTTTTTTGGTCTTTTAAAGCTGAGATGAGATGAAAAATCTTGGTGAATATTTTGCATAAACAGCCGTGTGGATTTCCAAGAGGGAAAAACAGGCAGTAGTCCTCTTATCTGGAGTTAAAGGAAGAAAGCAATAGAAACTGGAAAGACCAAAAAGAAAAAAACTGAACAAACAAACAAAAAACAAAGAAAGAGAAAAAAGAAAGAAAAAGCCCTTTAGGTAGATTTCAAGAGGTAATATAAATGTTAAATAGCAAAAAAGAGTAGGAAAATCACTGCACACAAAAACCCCTTTCCTCAAAGTTAGAGGATTTTAAATGATGTTACACAGTCATAGAAAGCACAACCACATCTCTTAATTAATGAAATTCCCTGTGCCTGGCACAGAGTAAGCACATATTACCCATTTGTTGAATGTGCTTGAATGGAATGAAATTTTTTCCTTTTTATTTTAACAAACTCTGCTGAATGCCAGAGCTACACTAAACGTTTCTGCCTTACTAACGGTATTTATTTTTATTTTTTTCAGAGTAACTGAAACCTATTCAAGGTTCAGTTCACCACTGGAGCCTACACAAACCTCTTTTCCTTTATCCACCCCCCACATCTGTGCCGCCTCTCATACCCTCATACCTCAGGTGAAGGGGAAATCAGAGAAGGACCAGCAACTTGCTGGTGCTGGTAGGCAATCATTGCCAGTTTCATCGCATTTTAATCTGACAGTAAGCATCAGGATTCTTTCAGATATTCTTATTCCCCTAGCAGCCTTATTTTCTGTCTAAGATTGTCTACCAAATACATAACTGTGATACTTGATTAGCAGTTGTAGAACTGTGTTGTCTAGTCTGGTAACTACTAGCCACGTGTGGCTATTTAAATTTCAATCAATTAAAATTAAAATTAAAATTGTGTTCTTAAGTCTCGCTAGCCACCTTTTTACATGCTTAATAGTCATGTGGCCATGTGTATTGAATAGTGCAGATGTAGGATATTCCAGCATTGCAGAAAGTTCTTTTGGGCAGTGCTGCTCTAGAAATCCTGTCAGCCTCTTGCCATTTCTGGAGTTTAAAAAGATACTCAGATTCAAACCCAGGTTTCTTGATGAGCAAGATTAAGGTAAACACAGAACAGTCTGTAGCAGATCAAAAAGTGGCTGTGCAAGGCAGGGATTAAGTTAATTGCCTGAGTGAAGAGGGGGAAAAAACATGGTAGCACCACTCATCTAGTTTGGTCCTACTTATTTAGGCTGGGAAAGTGAGACATATATTCAAATGTTTTCAGGAAGGGCTTTGGCTATGATTTTAGACCATTTGTTTAACGTGAACATCAATGATTTACACTTGTAAAGCATTCCTACATACACAGTCATAAGATTTAGTTAACAGACAGTAAATGGAAGGGGAAAACAGTTGATTCTGAGAGCATCTGCATTATTTCAATGTTATTTTAAAAATTCTCATTAATGTGTCCTTTGTATCTCCCCTATTGTGGGTTTCAAGAACTGAGTAATATAGGTAGGAACACTGCACGCTGCAACATAATTAAGCTTTAATACTACCAGGACTAATAATGATTCACATTTCATTATGAGTATGTGAATATTTTACATTTTAGAAAATGTTCTCCTCATTTTTCCTCTTCTTGGGTCTCACAAGGCACTCCTGGTTCTACGTAGGGCAGATATTATTTTTTTTCCTCAAGGTTCTTTTCTTTCTAGTCTTCTTTGGCTTGACTCAGATGCCACGTGCTGCATGAAGCTGTCTCTTTTCCTTGCACTTTTTCTGTATGGTACATGTCTTAGGCTAATTAACAGTGCTATTTGTGTGCTTTTGATCCTGCTTAATAGATTCATAATTTCTGTAGAATCTGTGTCAGATTTATATTTGTGGGGGTTTTGCTTTTTTAATTTTAAATTAAAATTTTATTTTACTGAGGTAAAACTCATATAAAATAAAATGAACTATTTTAAATTGTACAATTCATAGGTATTTAGTATATTCACTGTGTTGTGCAGCAAACACTTCTTTCTAGTTCTAAAACATTTTCATCATCCCCAAATGGAACCCTGTGCCTGTTAAACAGTCACTCCTCCTCACTTCCATACAGTCTCTGGAAACCACTAATCTTTCTGTGTCTATGGATTTACCTATTCTGAATATTTCAACTAAATGGAATCATACAATATGCAACCTTTTCTGTCTGCCTTCTTTCACTTAGCATAATGTTTTCAGGGTTCATCCACATTGTAACATGTATTAGTATTTAAGTTAGATTTATATTTGGGTTCTATATTTTACTAAAGAGACAATAAATATTAGTTTTATTGTTTAATTAATGGTGGACTATTTAACCCCAAACTCCCACACTTGACAATATACGCTAATATAATGCAGTTTGTATGACTAGATAAGGTCTGAACCTGATTAAGTTCTGTTATTTTATTCTTAGCTACTCAGATTATCTAAGCCTTAAACATTAACCGCCAGAAGATTTTCTCTATTTATCCATTCTGAGACATGGCACAATCGTTCCGTCTTTTCCAAGGAGATCCTACTGTGACATCCTCTCCCACTGAAGTTCGTGCGTGGATAGAAGGTAAGATGTTTTGAAACATCTTAGCTCTGTACAGCACATTTCATCTTTTACAGGCTCAGCTTCCCAGATTTCACAAAATATTAATACATAAAAAATTATTTTACTGTCTTTTACAAAAGGCACTTCAATATTAAAGATTTGAGCCTGAAATCTGTAACTTTAAGATCATAACATTATGTTTTAATAAGCACATTCTGAGAATAATTTCCTTGTCTTGATTAGTGTTTCCTTGTATGACTATTGGAATTAATATATTAATTAAATTTTATTTAATAAATTAAGGTATGATTTTGGACTTAATAAAATTAATATATAATTATTAGAAGCAACCAAACATTCTAAAACAATGACATGAGACAACCAGTAAAACACACTACCTAACAGATAAGATTTACATTCTTCTATTGGAAGGAGCCAATGCTGACTGAAGAGAATGAACTGTACAGAGGAGTAGATACAATAAAAGGAGAAGTTAAATAATTAATTACATTTAAAATATATTTAATCTTTGAGAGCAAAGGCTATGCCTGCCTCCATCACTTACTGTTCACAATAATATTAAAAAATAATATGTTTAGTGATTTAAGAGTGAGGAAAGATTCAAGTCTGCTTTTATCAGTTGTCTTCATTAATATCATACAGCTGAGCACTTTAGGGAAGATTGGCAACTCTTAGCATTTTTAAATTAGAGAAACTCTTTTAAAGATGATTAATCACTATGAAGCTTTGCTTTATTGCAGTATTTTCTTTATACATTGATTACTAAAGATGGTTTAGCATATTCTGTTGTATTAAGTAAAATGTATTAGGCACTATATAGATGAAAATAATATATTATCCTTACAGAATTATAGTATATTTTCAAAGTTTTAATTCCTAGCCATAAAATAGCTTTAGTGCAATAAGATTTCCCTCACATTAAGTTGAAATGTTATAGTTATCTGGCACAAAATTATATGTTAGAATTTATTATAAAAATAATTTCAATTAACAATAAAATTATTTTTATGCAGAGGCATTTCAAATGAAAAGTACATTTCAAAATTTTTGATTCATATTTTAATTCTAACGTTTATAATTCTTAACGCCAGAAAACTTAAACACTCTATGCTGTACACCAGAAACTAACACAACATTGCAAATCACCTATAATTCAATTAAAAAAAAGAAAACTTAAACACTCTAAAGTCACCCTCGTTCAGTAGTTTAGGGAATAGAAACTTGGTTCCTGCTTTTGGAAGGAAATTCCAAGTTTTCTCGACAGCTATTGCTCTTGTTTTCTTTTGAGTTATTCTTTTTAATTTTCATACTTTGTAACTTGCTAACTACTGAGACTAGTACTAATGCAAGAAGTGTTTTCTTCCCCTGTGCTCCCAAACATTTCCTTTGCTTTTTTATATAATTGAAGTATGGTTGATTTACAGTGTTGTTTTTTCTGGTTTATAGCACAGTGATTCAGTTATACATACATATATTCTTTTTAATATTCTTTTTCATTATAGGTTATTATAGGATATTGAATATAGTTCCCTGTGCTATACAGTAGGATCTTATTGTTTATTTTATATATAGTAGTTTGTATCTGCCAATCCCAAACTCTTAATTTATCCTTACTCCCTCTATCGCCTTTGGTAACCGTAACTTTATTTCTATGTCTGTGAGTCTGTTTCTGTTTTGTAAATAAGTTCATTTGCATCATTTTTTTAGATTCCATGTATAAAGTGATATCATATGATATTTGTCTTTCTCTGTCTGACTTACTTCACTTACTAAAATAATCTCTAGGTCCATCCATGTTGCTGCAGATGGCATTATTTCATTCTTTTTTATGGCTGAGTAGTATTCCATCATATAAATACACATATATGCAAGTATACATTCACACATTGTATACAATGTGTGTGTATATATGTATATTGTATACAATGTGTGTGTATATATGTATATATTGTATACAATGTGTGTGCATACATGTATATATATATATATCATATGATATGTATATGGAATGTGTGTATATATACAGACATACCATAACTTCTTTAGCCAATCATACCTCAGTAGATATTTAGGTTTCTTCCATGTCTTGGCTATTGTATATCATGCTGCTATAAACTTTGGGGTGCATATATTTTTTTAAACTAAGTTTCCCTCTGGATATATGCCAAGGAGTGGGATTGCTGGATCATATAGTAAGTCTATTTTTAGTCCTTTAAGGAATCTTCATATTGTTTTCCACAGTAGCTGCACCAAATTACATTCCCATCAACAGTGTGGGAGAGTTCCCTTTTCTCACACCCTATCCAGCATTTATTGTTTGTGGACTTTTTAATGATGGCCATTCTGACTGGTGTGAGGTGATACCTCATTGTAGTTTTGATTTGCATTTCTCTGATAATTGGCGATATTGAGCATTTTTTCACGTGCCTGTTGGCCACCTGTTTGTCTTCAGAGAAATTTCTGTTTAGGTTTTCTGCCCATTTTTTGATTAGCTTGTTTGTTTTTTTGCTATTGAGTTATATGAGCTGTTTGTATATTCAGGAAATTAAGCCCATGTTGGTCTCATAATTTGCAAATATTTTCTCCCAGCCCATAGGCTGTCTTTTTGTTTTGTTCATGGTTTCCTTTGCTGTGCACAAGCTTGTAAGTTTCATTAGTTTATTTGTTTATTTTTGCTTTCATGTCTGTTGCTTTGGGAGACTGACTTAGGAAAATATTGCTATGATTTACATCAGAGAATGTTTTACTTATGTTCTCTTGGAGATTTATGGTGTCTTGTCTTATATTTAAGTTGTTAAGTCATTTTGAGATTAATTTTGTGTATGGTGTGAGGGAGTATTCTAACTTCATTGATTTTCATGTGACTGTCCCTTCCCAATACCACTTCCCAAAGAGACTGTCATTTTTCCATTGTATTTTCTTGCCTCCTTTGTCAAAGATTAATTGACTATAGGTGTGTGGGTTTATTTCAGAGCTCTCTATTATGTTCCATTGATCCATATGTCTGTTTTGTGGCCAATACCACACTGCTTTGATTACTGTAGACTTGTAGTATTGTCTGAAGTCTGAAAGGGTTATGCCTCTAGCTTTGTTCTTTTTCCTCACTATTGCTTTGGCAATTATGGGTCTTTAGTGATTCCATATAAATTTTATAATTATTTGTTCTAGTTCTGTGAAAAATGTCCTGGGTAAGTTGATAGGGATTGCACTAAGTATGTAGATTGCTTTGGGTAGTATGGCCATTTTAACAATATTAATTTTTCCAAACCAAGAGCATGGGATTCTTTCCATTTCTTTAAATCATCTTTAAATTCCTTTATCAGTGTTTTATAGTTCTCAGTGTATAAGTCTTTCACCTCCTTGTTTAGGTTATTTCAAAGTATTTTTTTATTGAGTTTTAG